CAAAGGACAAGGGAAAACACACACAAGCTATGGTATGGGTCACTTCAGTTAGGCCTTAGGAAAAAGCTTCATAGTGACAGTGGTCAAACACGAATAGGTTACTCACAGAGGCTGTGGAATCTCCATCTTCTGTGATATTCAAAACCCAAGTGGACATGATCCTGAGCAACCTCATCTAACTTTCAATCAGGCTCAGCCATGAGCCAAGTGGTGGCCTACACGACCTCCTGAGGCCTCTTCCACTCTCAATTATTCTGTAGTTCTATGCTCCAGCCTCAGTCCACTTAGGCTATAACAGTGATTATTTCCTCAAGAAAGCCTGTAAAATCTAACAGGAAAGCCTGTTTCCCCTTTGCTTTCTTGACCTGATCTGCTTGGCCAGCTGACCTGACCCATGCAACTAGAGGGCTGCATGCTAGATTAGGATAAAATATTCTAACTGGCCAACAGAAGTGACTAGCAACTACAAATTATATATTACATCAACAAAGAAAAGGATCTGGCAGAAAAATGTAGGCAGCAGCTGGGCAACAAGATGGCCCAGAAGAAACAGGTCAGTAAAATATTGCAGGGAAAACAACAGTAAAGTCACCAGACAGCATTGCTCTGTGGACAACAGAATGGAAACAAAGCATTAAAGCTTCACCATCCTCCTTAAGTCAGTGACATCATATTACATAAAAATTATGAGGTAATGTGGGTCATTTCATAATCCATGTTTAAAGTATGCTATTTCCCTTTGTTGTCAATCCACCTATTGATCATGATCTACTGCTACAGCTTGGACAGTTACAGCCTGAGTTGGCATTTAGAGAGTTCTAACTCTGCTAAAGACATAAGAAGTGATCAAAGATACCCCAGAAAAAAATACATCTTTTGCTTCTATCTGTTTTAGGGGTAAAAAAAAAAAAAAAAAGCACTGAGGAAATTATACACCCAAAAACTATGTTAAAAAATTAATGCTATCATGGTTCAAAAGTCAAGCTCTGAAGCCTTGAGAAGTAGCAGTTATAGAACTGAAATTAAACACTAAGATATAGCCTTTAACTATGTGACTAAATACTACTTATCCACACAGAATCCAGCTTCCTTTAGAAAGTGCATTAGTCATCAAGATGAGCAAGTGTCCAAAACCTTGCTTTCTCCACAATTATTCTCTGTCACTATGTCATACCTAATCAACACAATTCAAGCCTTGCTTTAGTAACTCCCAGGAGGAGAAAAATCAAGGAAGAGATGCAAAAATCATAACCATTCTTTAATTTTGGTTGCCTGATTTGAGATGCAAAGTGCCCTGAAAAAAACCTGGTCCCAGACAATATAAAGCACAGCTCCCAAAGGCCACATCATCATCACTTCAAAGCTTTAAATTTCCAAACACTCCTGGGCTTATGTGGTCTTAACAGTATTCTTTTAAACACGGCTTGTGTATAATAAACATCTAGATTGATGTAAATTAGGTTACAGTTATGCAAGAGATTTCTCAAAGTGCCATTCAGACCAGTGGGACTCCTCAGACAGTGACAGTGTGTCACCTTGCTGAATCAGTGCTTTTACACATGAAAAAAAAAATGGATAGCTCAACTTTCTCCTAAAGCACGCACTGAAACGTCTCAATATTAAGAACTGTATTTTACAAGGTTTCATTCATATGAAATCAACTGGAATTTCACTGAGCCTAGTTGCCGGTTTGGGAAAGCACTTTAGAACATTTACCCAATCCCATCACATATGTAAGGTTTACATAAGTACCTAAGTGTTATTCTCAACTGGAAATGAGATGGTTAAACAATTACCCTATTTAAGTTCAAACTGTACTACTAGCTAGGTTAGCAAAATAAAGGCTGCCAATAAATAACAGAGATAAGAAGTACACCATTCTATTAAAGTACTTTATATGTCTATGAGAAGCACTGCAACCTGACAGAACAATTTGCAATCTGAGACTCTACTTCTGGATCCTACAACTATGCTTCCTCAGATAATAGTTACACTTCCTCTTGCCTCACTTTCCTCATTTGTAACAATGATGTCTGACACCCTTTAGAGCATTGAAAAAAACCCCAACATTTGCTCTGCCTAACTTGCTACTTGTAACACATTAGGAAAGTAGCAAACCACCATGTGACTGCATTCACCTCTAGCCATCACGATTCCTTATGGACACGCAATGCCCTGAGAACACATTTCCAGACAAGCAGAACAAGTCACATAAACCTTTCCCTGATCTTGTTTACCTCTCCTTTATTGAGAAGTGGGAAAGCCACCACGCGTTCACCTACTCCCTCTTCACCCGCGTGTACAAGTGGAGATGAAAGGAAGAAAGCTCTGCCAGTTCTAAGCAGCTGACCATGAAAAGCAGCATTTTATAGTGTCAGAGATCCTCAATGAATGGAAATTAAATCACTATGATTGAGTACAGAGTTAAGGAAGGCTACCTGCAGATAGGCTGTTACAGATAGACTATGTCCACACTAGTAAATCAAGCAGTGCCAGGAATTATTCCCAGGAAACAGAATTCCCTCAGTCACAGACTGCTGAACTGTCAGACTGGCACAGCATTCTTCTAACGCAGGGCAGCTACAGGTCTCCCATGCAAATTTGAGGTATGGTTTTGGATTTAACACAGGCCAGGTGCCAGTCACAATCACTAGCTTGTACTCAGCTATCCCATTCTGGAAGGCAGGAGAGTTCAGTAGCATTGACAAGGGCCAATCCACAAGAGTTGGCTTCAGAACCAGAAAACAGCCTTGGGTGCATTTAATTAGCTGCAGAGAAGTGGTCATAGCCTCTCCAGGCTTCATCTGCTATTATTCCTAAAGGAATATTTTAAAAGTGGCAAATGCAACGATGAAGCATATAAGCATTGCCTGATCAGCACCACCTGACAAAAGTCACCTACGCACTGTAGCACACAAGAAGAAAATTAGAAATTAGTAGAGCTCATCTTAGCTTCTTCCTGTTTCCTCTGAGTAGGCAGACTTCGCATATGATCTACTAATTTCCACAGTCTCATTTATTTTCTCAGTTTAAAAAAAGACAAAATTTACACATTTAGAATACATTCTTACAGTAAGGCTACCCTCTACATGAATAATGTAGAATAGCGTAAGAGGCTGTGCTTCTGAGGGCTGATCATTTGGCAGTAAATATTTCAAATTACGGTTATTTAGAAATTATTTTTCTTCTAATTATTAGTCATTACCAAATTTGCTTCTGTAGACTAAAAATGTAATTACTGGTGAGTCTATTATGTTATCCTGGAGCTACAGCAATTTTGGCAAATACATTTTCACAATAGAGAACTGTGCAAAAAAACAACAGTAAAAACACATTTGACAACTGACAACACACAGCTATTCCATGTCATTAATCTTGAAACAAATCTGAAGTTTTTTTACATTTTCATCTATCTAGAAACGGTCCAGTTAAAGCTGCCCTTTTTATAATCTGATGCCTCTGACACCTTTGCTCTAATGTTAGAATGTGTAAGATGTCCCACAGAAAATGCATTATGCAAAACCCTTTTGCCACTGCTTAAGCATTCATGGTTTCAGTAAGGACAAACAATTTCATTTAACAGCCCTCTTGGGCATGGATCTAACTTGCTCTGACCATTTAAAATATGTATGTTACCTGTAAATCTTTACGTAAATCAACCGTTTTCTTGGAAAAGTGTTTTTATTGATTTTTATTGATTTACAAGGAAAACTTCATTATATGTTTTGGGTTTTATATATACATACATATATATATATATACATACATATATATATATAGTAGGCTGCACTGTATTATCTGACTTTTACAAAGCAAATATGAGGAAAACCATGCAGCACACCCAAATAAAAATGACATACTCGTCTAAGTAGATGAAAAATCATCAAAACCAAGCGAGGCACTTCTATTTTTTTCCAGGAGCCACACGCACACCGTACTGACACCGGCAGGTTCAAGAGTTGTGCACAAGCAGGAGCCTAAAGAAGCAGGTGACAGCAAGAAGCCAGCCCCACCCCGTGCCCCTGACCAGCGGCCCGGAGGGCCGGTCCAGGAGAGCCGAGGGGAGCCAGGCCACCTCCTGGGGACGGAACCCCGGCGGAAGCGCGGCCCCCGCACGCCGCCTCCGCGCCGGCACCACCGCCGACGGAGGAGCAGGAGGAGAAGTAAACCCCCCACGGGCGGCCCGACGGGCCACGGGACGCGGCCGAGAGCGCCCACCTGGGGCTGGCAGCGCTCCCGCCCCCGCTGCCCGCCCGCGGCTCCGGCGGCTCCACTGGGAGAGGGGGCGCCCGGCTCCGCGGTGCCCACGCAGCCTCCTCGGGGCGCCGGCCCCCGAACCGTCCTAGCCCACGGATACGGATCCTCGGGGCTGGAGCGGCTTCCTGGCCGCGGGATCCCGGCTGCGGCGAACCGGCATAACCGTGCGGCGCTCCCGGCGCAACTCTCTCCCCACTCCTGCCGCCCGTCCCGCCGGCCCCGCGGAGCTGCTCCCGCTGCTGCCCGGCAGCGCTCCTCGCCCCGGCTCGGCTCACCTCACGGCGCGGCCGGTGCCCTGCGGAGCCCGGCGCAGCACAAGCGCGGCCTGAACCCATCCCTCCGGGAAGTTTCCTGCCATCGCAGCAGCTGGGGGAAACAAAAGCTTCAGAGCCGGGAGCGGGAGGAGGAGGAAGAAGGGAAGCGCAAGCGGAGAAGTGAGAGGCATTGCTCGCCCGCCGCGCCGCTGCCCTCGGCTGCCGACTCCCGCGGAGGGCAGCCCGCTCAGCGCCGCCTCCCCATTGGCTTCGGCGGCGCCTCTGCTGCCCGAGCAGCGCCGCGGAAACGCCGGACTGAGGAGCAGGCAGGCGAGCCAGCGCCTCTCTCCCCTCCCTGCCTCCGTCCGTCCGTCCGTCCCTGCCCGGCGCCGGCAGCTCTCCCCGCACCGCGCGTCCCGCCGCCGCAGCGCCGCCGAGCCCCGCCCGCGCCGCGGCTCCGCCTCCCGGGGGCGCGCGCACGCTCGGGCCGAGCGGGTCCCACCGCCCCCGGTGCCCGTGGGCGCTCCCGATGGAGCGGCCCCGCCGACCCTCCGCTCCGCACCAGCGGGCAGCTCGGGCTGGGCTGGGCTGAGCCGCTCCGCAAGGCCACCCCTTCCAGTTCTCACCGCCCAGCGCCAGCACGCTGTTCCTGTAAAGTTGGAGGCGTGTCTTTAAAAACCGAGGTAAAAGATGCTGAAAAGCAGGATTAACAAATGCAGAGGAGCTCCAAGCTTCCTGCCGGGCAGGGACATAAATATGTTATGTGCTTGGTGGTACTGCAGTTCTTGTGTACATAAAGGGAAAATTAGTATATCTCTAAGAGTCACTTTATCACAGAGAGTTGTGCTAGATGATTTTTAAGGACTAGCCTTCACAAGCCTTTATGTCACAGCTAACTTGGTAAGGGGGAAGGTTTGCCAGACAGGATATAGTTAGCAACGTTAAGGTCGCATAGTACGTTGCATTGGCAGCCCTATCGCTTCCGAACTGGGATAGGGTGACTGCTGATGCTGAGAAGTGCAAGGCCATAAATTGTAGTTTCAAGCCAAAGTCTACATGGTTCCGGGTAGCTTTTTGTGGTTTTCAGTAGTTCTTTCAGTAATTATGTATTACTGACAAGACTCACTATATCATAACAAATAGCTGTACAAGGTTGTAAACTGATATGAAAACTCTGTATTGTATTACAAAACTTGATGTCTAAAATAAGGAAGAGTCTTTCAGAATCCCTTTTCCTGTTCAAAGTGCATTTGCCTGATTGCCAGCTAACAAGTCTCTACATCAGATCACAACTGCTCACAGTGAACTCAAACCATGAAAGAAGAGAATGAGGAAGCTTCTCATTCTCCCAAATGGATCTCTTAAGCATGCAGCTGATGGGATGCCAGCAGAATGCTAGCAGCTACATCCAATCAAAGCACTGATATTGCTTTGATTTTTGAGAAGTTCAGGTCTTGATTGAGTTCAGCAGCCACAAGGCTGAGAACTGCAAAGCTAATACAGAGAAAAAGCAATTCTTTATGACAGCTTTAAAAAATTCTTTACTGAGTAAAATTATTTCTTTATTCCTACATCTTGTGTAACAAGTGGGTGTGAGCACTTTTTTGGTTGTAATTTCCCATCAGAGAAAAATTGCTAAGTTCTGCTGCTCATTTGGAATGCATAAGGAAAAGAACCTGTGGACCTTATTTGTTTTGTGGGACGCACTCTGAACTCCTCCCATCTGAAATAGGCATAACTAACCAGTGAGAACCTGCTCCACTGGAGCTTCTGATTTGTTTTGCTGTGGCTGAATAAAGTTTTTCAAGGCTTTTTCTAGCATAGGGGAGGCATGATATATTGATTCAATTTGAAAATTCTCAGATATTATCACTGCACTCCATCTTGTGGAAGAGGCAACAATGTGTTTTTAAATGATCCTGTTGTGGTTTGTTTGAGTAATTAAACCTAACAATGTTTGGTTCTTACTGCCAAAGCAAGCAACTACATATAGCAGTGGATACAAGAAGTTGTTTAATTCTCAGTCTGCCTAATTGTACCCAATGGATTTGTGTAAATGTCCCTTGGTTTAGGTATGAGCTTCACATCTCCTCTTCCTTTGTTTTTGGAAGGAGCTTTAGGAAAGCATTTGGAGAGTCTAATTTGAAAAGAGAAACTAAAGCAGAAAAGAATCTGCTTTCTAGGTGAAGTTGCCAAGGAGCACCCAGATTTGTGAGAGATTTGGGGATGATGATCTGTGGGGATGTGGCTGGGGTGAAGACTCTGCCAAGCAGGACTGTGTAGGGAGCTGACTGCTTGGGGTTTTGGTTTGTGTGGGTTTGCTGGGTTTTTGTTACCCCTATATGACTCACAATAATCTAGTTGTATCTGGACAATATTGGGGATTACTATCTGTCTTACCAATAAAAAAGAAACAAATGATGAGGTTCTCTCTGTCCTTCTGAAACTGCCTTTCATGGTTTGTGACCTTTTTCTCCTTGATGTTCAGTGCTGCTTTGGGAAATCAAAATAGATGTTGAGGCAACAGCTATGAACCATAGCAAGGGCATAGTCATATGTGTTTGTGTCTGGCCAGGTTCAGAGAAAATTGAGAAACTTATCTGGATTCACTGCTATGGAAGGGTTAACCTTATAATAGTTACTCAGGACAAGCTTGAAGATAAAGCCATTTAACCTTAATGAATAACTTAAAATACAAAGGGCTAGTTATTCCAGCTGTTCCTTGGATGGAAACAAAAAGGTTTTCTCGAGAAAAGACTAGAAAAGCTTAGTCATTCAGACCCAAAGAAACAGGGAAAAACAGGAAGAAGTTAGGAAGAAATTCTTTTGTGCAAATGAGGATCTTCCGAATTACCTCACCCCAGAAGTAGATTTCACAGGGAGACTGAATTTAATTAGCAGTCATAAACTGTGATTTTCTTTTTCTCTTTTTTTCCCCAGAATTCTCCTCTCTCTTGCAGTAACAGAAAAGTATGCACCTCTGTCTGTTGTGGTGTGGAACAGCAGTGCTGAATGAAGCACTGGCCTTTTCTGTTTCATTTACCAGGGAGAGCCTTGGACAACTTGCTGATTGCTGGTATGTCCTACTGCTCCAAACTGTGCTAAGTCTGGTAAAATAGAAATGATCTAAGTAATGCCTCAGTGTAAACAAGGCCTTGAAGGTGGAATGTCTCTTTCTGTCTACTATTCTAACACTGGTCTCATTAGTTCCTGATGTAATAGTAAAGGCAGGGAATCATCGCTGACTGCTGTATTTGTTAGCCTTTTCCAGATTCTTTGGTCATCTTCCTAGAGCAATGACTCATCACTTCATCATTGCACTGATTACATTAAATTGTTATTATTATTACAATATAAGTAACATAATGCCTATGTTAATTCACTTTGTGTGGAACTGTCAGAATTCCTGAAACAGTCCTCAATTGAAAGCATCCTACATGAACATTTTGGCATTACTTACACTCCTTCTAATTATTCTATTCATATTTATTATATTTAATTCTGTTCAGTGATGGGTTTTGATATAGTATGCGAAAACTCGGAGCAAATGGTCAGACCGTTTTGTGAAACCATTAGTCTCATTTGAAGGGAAATCAGGACATAACATGACTGCTCTTTCTCTTAAAGAGGCCAAAGAGTAATGTTGGGGCAGACTTGAAATGGAAGAAAAATGAAGAGTCTGCTTTTTAAAACCATTAAACACAGATGATAAAATGACGCAGTTAGGGTTTTGGTGGTTTTTTTTTCTAACAGTAGCAAGAAAAAATGCAGATGAACAGAACAAATGTCAGATGTTGAAAGATTTTATATTTGCACTTATTTTATTAAGCAGTTAGTTGTATACAATCCCAATAGAGTCTTGAGTTTCAAGGCTGACTCTGAACTCTGTGCCCTGGAGAAAAGAAAGATTTCAAAATGTAGTTTCTGGTATATCCAACATAAAAAAACACCCTTATCATCTTTTTTGCTTGTTTTTTGTAATAGAGTGAATTTGAAGATATGAAAAACCACAGCATAGTGTAACAATGAAGGAACAGTACCAAGATCTGACCTTGGCGCATTTATTCATGTGCTTGAAGTTACACAAGTCTTTTGCTCTGTTTACCACAGTAACTAGCATGAGGTAAGAAAGACTGGGTGAGTTAAGGACCAGAGTGAAAAAACAGGCTGCTATTTTGAAACAGAAATTTATGACACTGATCTGAGCATTTGTACAGAAGGCTGGCGACTTGGAGCTGAGTTTGAAATGTAGCATGAAAATGCTTTCACACCTTTCTCTAGAAAAATAAAATCCATGGTGCACATGTTTGCAGTGCAGCAAATATCAACTAGTCATTTGCTCACAGCTTCAGTTCTTTGTTTTCTATCCTGTTTTCATTCTGAGGGTAAGAGAGAAAGAGAAATCATGTCAGCAAAATTTGTGCCATTGCCAAGCAAATATGAGATAATTTAATATATAATTTCAAGTATTGGCGCGCGTTCAGTCTCTCTTATACTCTTTTGGCCATCTGACTGCTATTGAAGTAATATGTCTTTTATTTCTCATAACAAAGATGAAAAGATGGTCAACAAACCTCATAAATTCACCTGCCTCTCAAAGGCCATTTGCTGCTTCAGTTGCTACTGTTTGCCTTTGAAGCAAGATAAACGAGCTCTACTGCATCTCTGCACTGTTCACATCAATACGAAAAAATGTTTTGGGAAAATTCAGCATTCAGTTTCCACTCTATAAGACCCTAAAGTGTCTGGATCTTCAGCAATTATAATCATTTAGGAAGCTTGTGGAAGTGGAGGACATGGCACAGAGTTGTCTCCAATGTGATATTTTGCTCCTAAAGCTCAGTTCTGAGAACCATGCATCTTCAACCCATGTCCCAGTTTTAAGAAATGGAGAAGACTTCTAACACTTCTCTTCATTTGGACTCTCACATAATAGAACCAACCAACCTCCCCTTGTAGTTAACATGCTGGACATTTCCTGGTATTTCTGATCTTGGCAGGGAGGCTATGTCCAGTATTACCGAAATTGATACACTCTTTTTAATATGACATTTGTTTCATTTTGTTCGGTAATCCAGGAACCAGGGGCAAAAAAATCTTGATGCATAGGTTTCCTAGAGAGGAACAGTAAACTTCTTCCCCCACTCTCTGCCCTTCCCTCCTCCCAGTTTAATGTTTCTTGTGCTTCCATGCAGAGACGGTAATAAAAGAAGTGTAGTCCTGCCCCTTCCCAATCCCAGCTGTACCTGGTTTTGGAATTTTGCTATTCTGTCACATTCAGCTTCATATCTACTCCAGTTACTTGATACAATTTTCAGTAGAATCTTTGTGGTACATATTGGTATCTTTGTTTTCAAAATTATTTTTACTGATAACGTAGGAATTAAAATTAAAATTAAGTCTTTATTTTTCAGCAAATGCTTTGGGATCCTTACATTATAGTCTAGTGAAACTAGCCGGAATGGCTTTTCAATGTCTTAACGCAGGAAATTATCTACAGTGCATCATCTGAACGTGTCCAGTGTTTTCTGCAACTACACTCTCTAAGAAGAGGATAACACAACAGGACTTTTGCCACAAGCACCTTTCTTTTGTGATGTCACAAATTTGGTAAGGCAAAATCTAATTCTGTGCATCTTGTTAGAACTGTAGCCATTCATTAATCAGCAAATTTGACTTTTAATAGATGCTGTAAATCAAGATGGACAACATAGATGGTATTTATTAGAAAATTACGAAAAGTCCCTATAATAATACAGGTTTCTGAACTGCTAACCAATGACAAATGCTTCACAGATCCTCCAATTAAATAAAAACAATGGTGAAAAACTCATCATTAAAAGAGAGCATTACCTTAAGTAAGGTAAACCATTTACCACTGAGATATATCTGTGTTGGAATCCCCTTCTATGAATGAACAATTAACTTCAGCAAAGAATGAACATGAAATAATGAGTTTAAAACAAAATTTTCTGTTCAGTCAATTTAATAAGAATATAAAAATTTTACTGTGGTGTTGCACATAATTTTCAGTTCTCTCTTTAAAAAGGTTACTACCCTATTTTAACTACACCTGAGATTAGGTAAGTTTTCGAATTCTTTTTAAGTACCCTTTGTCCTAAATATTCCTTACTATTTTTAGAACAGCACTAGTAACTTAACAGTGACTTTCACCTGTGGAGGCCTTTACAATTCACACTCCTCAGAGAGAATGAAGATGTCTAAGAACATACATGAACATGGGAAATGCCCCACTGGGTTGGACTGTGGATCTTTTTTTTGTCTCAGACAGGGGTAAGAGACCCTGGTGCACATCAGGTATTTTGTGTGTACATCAAATGAGGAGGGTGCCATCTCTCCTCCAGAAATGCTCATTGAACTTCTAGCTGCACTTTTTCCTCTGAACTTTTTATTTATACACTCCCTAACCAAGGCCCTTTCCAGTTGCAGGGTCTCCTCATCAACGGCTTCCAGGCCCTGCCCATGTTGGTTGTTAACATCACCAAAAGAAGTAAGCTTGATGGGGGGATCCTGGTGACAGTGGGACCTGTGTCCTTTCATTTCATCATCCTTCCACACCTCCAGGCAGAGCATCACTGGGCAGCATCCACCTGCTCCTTGGTTAATCTTCGAGAAGCAACGGGTGATGTCAGGGCTTCTCTGCTTCATGCCCTCCTCCAGTTCCCTATCTGTGTATTTCTAGTTCTGTAACTCTTCCCTTTCTATCATTTGTTGTTCACTGCTGTTCAATTTTTTCTCCTTGTTTTCATTACCTATAGCCCTCTCCCTCCCTAGGGGGCCTTCAAGGTTTTGCTAATACATACCTAAACAGAAAAACAAATAGAAACAGCAGCAGTAGGAGAAACTATTCATAGAGTGCACACAAGCTTGGCCACCTTCTTCAAACCATGTTCTTTGTACTCCTGTAGCTTCCATGGCTCTTATGAAGATAAATCGTTGCTTAGTCCTTTCACTATCCATTTTTTGGATTTTTTGTATGTGAACTTATCCAATTCTTGTCTGAACCTACTGTTGGGATCTGCTGCCACAACCTCTTTCAGCAGCAAGTCTAAAAATACACTAGCCACTGTTTAAAGTAATGTGTTATTTTTATCTGTTTTAATTTAATTCCACCAAATAAGCCAAAATTGTAATGTGGTGAAAAATGGTTCTATATTCATCTTTTCAGCCACCTCTGTGATTTCATAAACAAGTCTTGCCACAGTGCTCTCCTAGTTGATAATTTTTTAGTCTGATCTCATAAGACAGCCGCTACCTTTAATCCCTTTAATAATTGCAATTGTTTGCTATGTATCTTCCCTAACTTTTATCAGGTCCTATTCCAGGACCAAAACTGTAGAGCATTCAAAATGTGGATACAATAGAGTTGCATTAGAGGTAAGGCAAAATGATGCTTTCTCACTACCATTTCAGATTATGCCAAACACTGGGTTTTGCCTCTTGTTTGACAAACTCATGCAGGGATTTCAGAGAATTTCAGTCTCAAGAACTTTAACATTTCTGAGCTGTATCTGGTCATTAGATCTGGAAGTGCTTTGTGACAATTTGTGTGCTTCAGAGAAAGCTAATTAAATACTGTTGTTAAATTTTAGAAGCAATGTTAACCAGAATTTCATTCTGAATCCCATAAACGATTACTTTTTACCATTTTTCATATCATCCATGAATATGTCTATTGGTCCCAGTGCTGTAGGTCTTCCAAAGGAACAGCTCTACTTGGAGTGAAGTGGAATTCTAGTTTAAATAAGCTCAAATGTATCTTTGGTATAAGGCAGACAAGGTGAAAACACTGTAGATCTTAGCTAGGAAGACAGCAGAGAGAGCAAATTGGAATTATTTTTGGATCAGTACCTGAGTCCTGTGATAGAAAAGCCAGCTGCTTCTTCTGTGGTTGATGATCTCCATGCTGAGTGTAGAAGAAGGAGGGGAATAAGTGCTCCTTAAACATCATTGAAATTTTCATAGGTTTTGGGTTTTTTCTTAATTTCTAAATTTTCAATGCCCAAATACCAAAAGTGAACAATTAAAGGTTTTTATCAGAGACTTTATGACTTTGAGCTGTTTGTGTGTGTATGTGTGCAGACATCCCGTACATGATGCACTCTTTGACTTGAAGGTCTTGCAGTCAAACAAACTGGGTGAGGAAAGAAATTTGTTCGTATCCATTTTACATAGAGGTGTAATGGCTCTCTAGCAATCAGACATTTTGCATATTACATTTTGCTTAGCACATTAGTTCTTACCTATTCAATATCCACATGAAACAGTAATGTATGACACCTGTAAAGGCAATTGCAGAAACAGACAGCAGGCTATTCTTTTATAAGGTTCTTTGCTGGTTTAGTTTTGTATTTTAAAAATCTAGATATTTTAAATTCATTTTATAGGAAATAAAAGAAGGTGCTACCTGTTGGGTTTTTTTAGGGGGAAATGTAAAATATCCAAAGAATAAGTAAAATGTCCATTTAAAAATGAAGAATTTCACACCATTCTATTCTTACGAATGCTGATTACTGGGGAGGAAAGGGTTGTTAATGTCAAATCTCTATGTCCTTTTAGAGCAACTCTGTTATTAAAAGGAGACATGTTTGAAGAGTGAACCTTTTGCTAATGATGAGCATCCCCTTTCCATTTTGCCTTCAAATGGAAGATCTGTTTTGTGTTTTTTTTTAAATTCAGGGAGGAGGTGGTTACAGCAAAGTTGTGCTTTAACTGAAAAATTTGATAAAGCCATCCTTTTTTTCAATTTCAGATCATGTTTACTGAAGCATGTTTCTCCTGATTGCTCTATATAAAGTCCTTTCTAATGTTATGATTGATGCCTCTAAATACACAGGCAGTGAGATGGCAATCACCAAGAAGGGAGAAAAGACATGAATAAATTTAGAGTTGAAATTCAGAACGTTTCTAATCATCAGAAGAATCAGGTTCTGGAACAGTTTTTCAACAGAAATCATGGTGGGATGAACTCTTTTCTGTACAAGATGACATCTGTGATTTCCGGCTCTGCCAATTTAATCAGAAGACTGTAACACAGCCTGGAGTCTTTATTTCTTGTGCAGAACAAAGAAAAAAGAAAAAAAGTCTGAATTCCCCAGTCTGGGCATCCTACTGTCTATGTGGGGACATAGCTACAGCTCTGTTCTAGGGATTAAAAGGAGAAAAACCACATTCTGCTCTGCTGCACCTTGCCTGTGCAGGCAGTGAGCTGTTACTGAGCTGTGGAGTTATGTTAAATAACTTTTGTGAAAGCATCTGTGGAAGTTTTAGACATGACTGCTTTTCTGCTGGAGGGCACTGTCATCAGAGATGAGCTGGTAGAAATGCTCATACAAGTGTTTCTTATTTTCTTCAGCAAAAGGTCAGCCAAGATTAGCTCCAGATATGTTAAACAATAGGTTAAATGACGCCAGCTGACTTTGTGCAGAAGCAGATTAGGAGTGCCCACAAAGGCCATTCCACAACTGAGCTCTAGAGGCAAATGAACTCAGGAAGCAAAAACAACAGCTTCTGCCATTTCTTTGGTGACTGACACAGCTCAGTGGCTGTATCTATGCAACCAGTTATTTCTGCTGCAGTCTGAATTATAGTCTCCATACAGTGAGGACCTTTGAAGTATCAGGCTTGTAACATGTCTGGACAAGTTGAAAACACTTTGTTTCCAGATTTATGCATTCTCAGATGTTTTCCTGTGGTGCACTGGGAAATGCCTGATGGAGGGAAAAATCAATGGACAATACGGACTTGTGCTTGCTTTCATGCTGCCTTGATGCCCCTTTCTTCTTGGCCTGTTTGGATGGCTCTGTACCACACCGCTGGGCCTTGCAAGTGCTGAAATGCTGGTGAGTGGGTGTTTGACACCTTGACTAATGAATATCTCATTCTGGCGAATCACTCACAAAGCTACCACAGAGCTTTAGCATGGCACTCACACTGGCACATTTTAGACCAGTGTCTTCTTTCTAAGGGTGATCAGTAGGTGCTTACAGGAGCAGTGTAAAAAACATGTACCAAATTAAATGTACTCTGCTTTCCAGCCGTGAGTGACTTATGGACTTCCTAAATCACTTGTTCTTCCTAGGTGTTACATCCCAAATGCTGTGTTTAACAACTACACATTAACTTGTACTTCAGCATTGCTTTTTGGGGTGCTTTTTTTACTTCTTTTTTAATCTACTTATATTTTTAACCTCCATAACATCTCAATGAGTTCCACAATTTAATTATACATTAAAAAAAGAACTGACTGGCTTGCAGGACTTACAGTGCACTGTAGCTACGCATTCCTCAAAGCCTATTTGCCATTTTAGTGCCCTTGTTGCAAAGTTCCAGCCTACAGGGACACATACAGAAGCTAGAAATGGAAAAGATCTATTATATCATAGTGTTAGCTCCAGCCTTAATAGAAAATGTTTCAGTCACAGCTTGACATGATAACATCAGTGTACTTTAAAGATACAGCAGGTCTCCGAACAGTCTGCAGGGTGTGAAAACAAAATGACTTCTACAGCCTCCAGGGTGTTTTTCCTCGACAGAATGAGCAGGACAGGATTCATGCTAGAGCTACTGTGAACATCTCTTATGGAATTGTCGTTTTCCTGGCAATTTTAGTTCTAGAGGTATATCCTATCCTTCAACAATTGCTAGACTAAAACTGTGTGCATTTCCTTTTATTTGTAATACAGAGATCACCTCGTTGTATTAATAAGCCAAGGTTTGTAAGTATCTTCATGGGGAATACAGTTGGTTTTCCATACCGTAAACACTGTTTAAAGAAGAGGCATCAAATGGTTGAAAGTTTACCATAAATAGTCAGTCCAGAAGTAGAGCTCAGTCTTAAACATGAAGGTCATCTTCTAAGGATTATACAGGATTGTCTCTCACTTGAAATTTTTTGATCAATAGTGAGTTTGTTCTTTTTTCCCCAAAGCTTCTTCTCTATTTCAAAGAAATAGGAAATTAAGGAAGCATTTACATCACTTTATTTTAAATCACATTAAAGCATCACAGTGGTCATGTCTAAAATTATATAAAGTGTGAAATAAGAAAAAAGGAAGAACTCAGAATAAGCATAAACTGTTGAAAAACACAATTTCCTCTGGAATAATTCAAAAGAAATAAAGATCAGTTAGTTTAAACAAAAACCCTTTTGGTTATCTACCGAGGGCTTTTCCTAACAAACAACACCACCACCCCCACCACTGCAGATTTATGTAATTCTTTTATTTAGTGGCAATTGAAAGTGGTATACAGATGATATATGGGAATATTTCATACATCTTTAAAAAGCAATCTCTTCCTGAGTAGAAAAATTGTAACTATTCTCTGTAAACAGTAGTATAGTGTATGTTGGAGTAGCAGGATTGGTTTCTCAATATCTCTGTAGTTCTATCTATAGGCAAAATATATGAGCTACTGTCTGTTTTCCTCTTTTCAAAAAATGATAACAAACAAATGCTGAAGAAAATGCCTAACTGTATGCTAGAAAACCTTCCTCTAAACCAGTCCTCAATATCTGATTAAGATAGCATGGATTTTACATTAACCTAGCTTTTTTTTTTTCTGAAAGAGAAAAAATATATTACCTTTTTTTTTTACTCAAGAAGTTTTAAATCCTCCAGCCCTGCTAGTAGATGCAAAGTTTTATTTCTGTCTTTTATAAATGGAAATGTCTAAACCTTATGATTGTAGAAAAAATATTATAAATCTGCATCAAAGGAACAGTAATTGTAAATCAAATAAACCCTAAAAAACCCATACTTCTTTTAAAATTCCTTGATGCTTGAGGGCAGTAATATGATTCTTGGCAACTGGGACAAAAGACTTTTCTGTGCTTGGGACTGATAATATTCTAATTCCTACCTCTTTGTAGCCATTTGTTGTAATGATATATAACTTAGATTGCGTTTTAGCCTCACTCTGCATTCCAACAAACTCATACAGATTAGGTGACTCCAAAGTGAAAATGTTATTTATTTTCAAAGGTATGTCCTTTTTCCCAAAGTGCCCTCAATTCATAGGAACATTCAGTGGTATGCTGAACAAGGACACCAAGCTTTTATAACAGATGAAATTTTGTAAAATTCAGTAATTCATCACATCACCTGCCTGAGTATATTTTAACCTAAATAGAGTTGAAATGTCATACACATTTTAATTAGCAGACTATATACTATTGGTAGATTTTAAATCAGGTACAGGTTTATAATATCTGAGAGTATATGTAGCAAGAACAAATTGCCAATCTGTACTTGGCTGAACGCAAAATTAGCAAAATTTGGTGCAGGGCAGTTACGTAAAAGACTTCAGTTCTATTGACCCAGATCTCAAAGCTCACCTTAGGCTTTTTATAGGAGTTTTAACCATTATAAGTGGCTATGATTTATATACATTTCTAACTGAAGCAGGTTTTCCAGACTGCACATCCATGGAGTCCACCTATGAGGCATATGGGGACTGTGGAGCGAATAAGATGCAAGCAGCATTGGCTTTGGGGAACAAATGGATTCTTAGTGAACCACTAGCATCACCTCAGTAAGTTTTGGAAGTCTGTTCAAAGCTGCCCTTCTCTGTCCCCACTGAGAATTCGCACAATTAAAAGTAGCATAACGGTTTTATTCAATATTCCTTTTCCTTTTTTTTTTTCTATGATACTCAACATTAATTTTCACTGTAATTCTGTTCCAGGTGTTTGTGCTCTACAAAAGGTTTTTGTTTCCAAGTACATGTTCTGCTACAGTAATTATCCATCCTGCACTGTAATTCGAGCCTGAAAGTTGATTTATTCTCCATGTGCTCTTTGTAGAATTCAATGTGTCACCTTTGTAACTGACTTACATCTGACAACGCTGATCTAAACAGTTGCAGAAATGTCTCATTGCCTTCGCAGTTACGAGCCCAATTAACTTGTCAACATTTTCCAGTAGTTATTTACTACAGATTTACCACATTTCTAATCAGCTACAGAAGTGGGAGAAAGAAAGACAATTAGTGTAGGGAGTGTCTTTCCTTGCAGTTTTCTAGTAACAAGTGTAACTGGACCCTCATTTCACAAGTATTTTAGGATATATAGGAGTTGGAAACGGTGATGGGTCATAAAATCACAAAGAGGGTTGTTCACTGAATGTGATGTGACTCCAAAGCCTACTGAAATTAGTTTTGTACTAATAATTTTTTCATCTACAGACACATTTAAAAATGAGATTACCCCATCTGTCTTAGCATACTTCATATGCCATTTCATATGCAGTTTGCTTCCTAAAGACCAGCTTCTGCTGTCTCTGTTCCTCATATGCTGAGA